CAACTTTTTTCCAGACATAAGCTTTCATATTGACCCCCCCCCCCCACACACACACACCCTCACAGATATACACAGACATTTTGATATAATCATTGTAATTACTGTATAGCAAGTTAGTATTAAAAAATTAGTATTCAAAGATGTTGGGAGTTGGAAAACTTCCTTTCCCCCTCCCGAATAAAACAATTGTCTTCTTTCTTTCTTGACAAATTCTTATAAGCTCAGTCTAACCCCCCCCCCCACCTTCAAACATTCATTCAAATTCGATTCTACGTCACTGCTATGTCAACAATTTTCGTGAATAAGAGACTGCACATGACTAAATCAACTTGTATTAAATAATGGAGGATTGAAAAAGTAAAATATATACAGTTTCCTATAAAATTTGTCTACTTAAAGTGATTTTATCTGAAATAATATATTCCGTTTTCCGTTTCGTTCCGCTTTCCGTTCCGTTTTCCGTTCCGCGTTTTAGCAACACCCGCTAGATTTATAACTACGTTATGAATAGAAATCTCCATTTTCAGCAAATAACATGTGTTTTTAGGTCACCTGAGGGACTCTGGTGACCTATGGCTATCCGTTTTCGTCCGTCGTCGTGCGTGTTTTAACTTTTGATTATTTTTAGCTTCTCAGAAACCACTGAACCAATTTCAACTAAATTTAGTATACAGCATCTCTTGGTGAAGGGGAACAAAAATTATGAATTTTATGGTCCCTGCACCCCTAGGACATGATGGGTGGGGCCAAAACCACTAAAATTATGAAATCTTTAAAAATCTTCTTTACTTCTGGATATTAAGCAGTCAAACGGTTGGCATGAATGTAATGAGCAAGAGTGCCGCTACCACAATTGTGAAATTCATGGCCCCAGGGTCAGGGATGCTAGTGCCAGGGCGGCGCTATATTGATTATATAGGGAAAATGCATTTAATTCTTTGAAAATCTTCTTCTCTGCCCCTGGGTATCAAATAGAATAAGTACATAGTTATGATGAGCAACATGTTAGTGCCAGGGCGGCGCTATATTGATTATATAGGGAAAATGCATTTAATTCTTTGCAAATCTACTTCTCTGCCCCTGGGTATTAAATAAACTAAGTACATAGTTATGATGAGGAAAACCTCTACCAAAATTGTGAATTTATGGCCCCAGGGTCAGTAATCTCAGCGAGATGGGTAGAGACTAAAATTTTGGTCTGACGTCTACTACCCATCTCAGTCCATTCCCACACAATGTTATTCGGGGTTTTTGCACCGACTTTGACCGCTCGTTTCAATCAAAACAGGCTGAAGTAAATTAGCTTCCCGCTTCAATTTTTTCCTTCGAACATCCCTTTAAGTCTCTGTCACTATAAAACTTTCCTTTCTTACCTTTAAAAGGTCAAAGTCGGTGCAAAAAACCCCGAATCACATTGTGTGGGAGTAGACGTCAGACCAAAATTTTAGTCTCTACCCATCTCGCTGAAATTACAGGGTCAGGGGTTCTGGTGTTAGGGCAGGGCTCTATTGATTATATAGTAAAAATCCATTAATTCTTTGAAAATTTCCTCTGCCCCTGGGTACTAAATAAACTAACTAAGTACAAAGCTATGATGAGCAAGAGTGCCTCTACCAACATTGTGAATTTTATGGCCCCAGGGTCAAGGGTTCTAGATCTGGTGTTAGAGCGGGGCTCTATTGATCATATAGTGAAAATGTATTAAATCTTTGAAAATCTTCTTTGCTCCTGAGTATTAAATAAACTAAGTATCTAGCTATGGTGAAAAAGAGTGCCTCCATCAAAATTGTGAATTTTATGGCCCCAGGGTTAAGGGTTCTGGTGTTAGGGCGGGGCTCTATTGATCATATAGTGAAAATGCATTAAATCTTTGAAAATCTTCTCTGCTTCTGAGTATTAAATAAACTAAGTAGTTAGTTATGATGAGCAAGCGTGCCTCTTCCAAAAATTATGAATTTCATGGCCCCAGGTACAGGGGTTCTGGTGTTAGGGCGGGGCTCTATTGAATATATAATGAAAATGCATTAATTCTTTGAAAATCTTCTTTGCTTCTGGGTATCAAATATTCCAACTAAGTACAATAGTTATGATGAGCAAGAGTGCCTCTTCCAAAATTGTGAATTTTATGGCCCTGTGGTCAGAGGTTCTGGTGTTAAGGCGGGGCTATATTGATTATTTAGTAAAAATGCATTAATTCTTTGAAAATTTTCTTCTCTGCTCCTAGGTATTACATGTAAATAAATTAAGTACAGAGTTATGATGAGCAAGAATGCCTCTACCAAAATTGTGAATTTCATGGCTCCAGGGTCAGGGGTTCTGGTGTTAGGGTGGGGCTCTCTAATGATAATATAGTTAAAATAAATTACATCTTGGAAAATGTTCTTCTCTGCTCCTGGGTATTAAGCAGATAAATTACCCATATAGTTATGATGTGCAAAGGCTCTTTTTCCGGGATTGTGACTTTCAAGGCCCCTGGGTTTGGGATACCGGGGGGGGGGGGGCTCTACTATATACCGAATATGAATTGTTTGAAATCTGCTCCTTTGCATTAATCAAACATTTTTGAAAAGCAAGTGTACCTTTTAAAACATTGTGCAATGTGTGGACCTAGTGTCAGGGGTTCATGTGTAGTAAGGGCACTTCTGATTATTGCTGAATATTATTGATTAGTTGAAATGCATTTTTTGTTCCCCTACCCTACCTATGGGTATTAAGTAACTAAACTAAGCAATTGCTAAGTGTATAATTATGATTAGCAATGGTGGTTCTTTCAAAATTGTGAATGCCATAGAATCTAGCCTAAAACACGAATCAAATGCAATCATTTGAAAGTTGTTGCATAACACTCAGGTGACCTATATGGCCCATCGGCCTGCTCTCGTTAAATTCTTGTAGTGTATTCAAATTTGTACACATCGTTGAAAAATCGTATAAAACCAATCTCAAATCAATAAACTAAATATATTTCAATAACTTTGAGTTGTTTAAATAAATATGTTGTCTCTTATGTCGTTTCTACCGTATTAAAACATTTTTTTATTGTACGCTGTCCCCTTCAGACGGCGGACGTTGCTTACTCTGTCAATCTTTGACACATATTTATTAGGGATTTTGTTTAGTAATTTCACTGTCTATATAGTTAGCGATACTTTAGATATAGCGTTTTTATTTGTGTTACGTATAATTATGCACCCCTTCGAAGAAGGGAGGGGCATATTGCTTTGCTGCTGTCTGTCGGTCCACTTAGTTTCCGTTCATTTCCTACACAACTGTTGCACATACGGAAATGAAATTTGGTATACAGATTTATCAGATAAATATGTATGCCAAGTTTTGTTTGGGGTACGATCGCGCCATTTTGACAGTGTTATGCCCCTTGGACTTAGAAAAATTCTAGTTATTTGCAGTTTCCGTTCATTTTCTTCGCAGAAGTTGCACATATGGAAATGAAATTCAATATTTGGATTTATCAGATGAATATCTAGGTCAATTTTTGTTTTGGGTATGATCGCGCCATATTTGATAGAGTTATGCGCCTTGGACTAAGAAAATTTCCAATTATTTGCGTTTCCGATTATTTTCTTCGCAGAGGTTGCACATACAGAAATTTATTTGACATACGGATTTATCAGATAAATATCTAGGTCAAGTTCTGTTATGGGTATGATCACGCCATTTTGACAGAGTTATGCCCTTTTGGACTTAGAAAAATTCCAATTATTTGTAGTTTCTGTTTTTTTTTGCAAAGGGTGCACATACTGAAATGAAATTTAGTATACAGAATTATCAGATGAATATCTAGATCATGTTCTGTTTTGGATACGATCGCGCCATTTTTGCAAAGATTTATTCCCCTCGGACTTTTCAAAATTCAAATTTGGGGAAGGGGGGCATACACGTTTTACAAAAATCTCTTGTTTTGATGAAGTTTTGACTTGTTTTGTAAAGAAAATAATCATTTTAATCCAAACATTTTTATCAGAGTTTATGACATTTTAACCTTGGTCAGATTGCACTATCTGCGATCTTTAAAGACCTCGACGTTTACAAAAATATTTAGTTTCATCAACTAAAATTAAATTATTCTGACTTGTTTTTTCATAAGAAATATTTTGATTTACAGTAGACATATATAGAACCATTTATTTAACAAAAACGTCATTGTCCACGAACTTTTTGGACAACCCTCGCAGTTTTGATGAGAAAGGATCCCTCCATAAATTTTGAATTTCATGGCCCCTGAGTCGGGGGTTAAGGTATTAGGGTGGGGCTCTAATGATTATACAGTGAAAATGCATGATTTCTTTGAAAATTTTTTCCTTTGCTCCTTAATTGGTATTGTGACAATGATTTAAGTAAATATATTTAAGATGAAGAAAGGTGCATCAAGCAAAATGGATCATTTCATGCCCCCTGGGTCAGGAGCGGGGGGGGGGGCATAGTCTGAAAATAAATAAATGCTTTGAAATTTGCTCTTTGAGATTAATCAACCATTTATGATGAAATAAAATTTATGATAAAATTTCCAATATTTTGAAATATGTGGCCCCAGCTGCAGGTTCAGTGGTTTCTTTGGGGTGGGGTGCACAACTGGTTATACGGTCGAAATGCATTTTCTCTTTGTTACTCTGATCTACCTCTGGGTATTAAGTAACTAGAGTAAGCATGCTTAGTGTATATAATGATAAGCAGTGGTGCCTCTTTCAAAATTATGAATTTCATGGCCCTTGGTTTAAAACACGAACCATATTCAATTGTTGGAAAGTTGCTCAGGTGACCTATAGTTGCCCGTGGGTCTCTTGTTATTTTAGTTAATTTTTGTGGCATGAACTATATGCTGTGTTGTAGCAGATTAAAAGCTGACCGTTCCTAGGTATAGACGTAGCCTTACCAAAACCCTCATGGTCATGATTTGAACAAACTGAGATACAAGAGAGAGAGAAAGATTTATTACATTACTAATATACTAGTTAATTACAAAACACATTACAATTACATGATTTGAACTAACTAAGAAACAATAGAGAGAGATATTTTAATACTTTACTAATATACTAGTAAATTATAAACACATTACGTTTACAAAAATTATTATGCTCAACAAGTGTAGTATCCATTATCCGACTTATGGTTTTACGAATACGTGGATTTTTTGACTTCCATGTCCCCTATAGTGTTGTTTCCAGTTAGTGGCGAGATAGGGATATCTAATTTTCCCATAGTATCGTGCAGCATTAAATTGAATATAATCTTTTTCATTATCAAACATTACTCCAATTGTCAATGATCCACCTTTCTTTGTTACACACCAAGCTCTTGCAATTGCTATGATATCACCCCAAGGATTAAGTCCATCGCCATACCTACCTAGTCCTGAATGTTCAACCGAGCTAAACGTTACCACAGCGTCAAATTCACCAAGAGTCTTATTCAAGTAAGCCATCCTAAATGCTTGAGGAATGAAAGTTTTTATTTTCGGATGCAATGATCGAATTTCTCCGTACTCAAGAGTAACAACTTCCTTTGCCCCAGCCTCTAGTACACATGCCTCAACCCATGGATTCTCAGAACCTATGACCAAGACACGCCCATCTTTGACGCCAGGAGCATGCTTTAGCCCATCTCTTAACGCGTTAGTTTCAGAACTGTCATATGTTCCATCTAAAATTCCTTTTTTTGCCAGCGAGATCTGGTGCTCTACACTTTCTTTTGTCCATACAGGTGTTTTACTTTTTGTATTAAGGTATGGCATATCAAAGTACCATTCTGATACTGGCAATTGAAAATTCATTGTAAAGTCTTTAAGAAGCTTATTTGGAATATATCTGGGAGCTTCCTTTAAGCCATGACCTTTATCTATGTAAGTATTTTTAAAGATTGCTTCACAGTTCACTGGTGCTGTTACATGATTAAAATATGGGCCTGGTGAACCAGGTCGCGAAGTATTACAAAGTTGCCCACAGTCACGGCGGATTATTTCTATTTCAGCATATGGTATACCATCAGAACTTTTAGGAAGATTCATTGAATGAAGATACTTTCTATAAAGTATCGACTTTGGAATAGCATTTGAGTCGGGTGAGGATCTAACATTTAGTCTCCAATGATATTGTGGCACAAAAAATAAGAGTCCGGCTACCACCAGAAGAACAGCAGCTAAGCTGTATTTATGGCATGAACCACTTACATAAGTTAACCTTCTGCAAATAAAAAGAAATGAATCTTTTAACAAAATATATTGAAGACATTGAATGCATTTTCAAATATTAAAAATACAACTGCATTGATCCGCTGCAAACAGGTTTTCCTTATTTGTATTGTATTTCTGAAAGAAAAATGGCCTTTTTGATTGGCATTCGGCGCACTTGAAATGTGAAAATTTCATCGATCTGTCAATGAAAATTTAGCAATATGTGAAACACAAAGAGAAGTATTATCCCGATATTGTACGTATTTTGATTTGCCAAATATGAACTTCAAAGTTGGCAAGATGAATCATTCGATACAATATGTTACATTTTCAAACAAGTTTTTCTCAAAATTTGTTATCCTTGGGCCATCTATCCATGATTTTGAAACATTATTTGTGTGCATTTAAGTTAAGAAACTAAAAAAACATTTAAAAATGGAGAGAAAACCCAGAGTCGATAAAAAATTAACTTTTCCCTTTTAAAAAATCCAATATATAGATGCTGTGTTTCATTGTCGTTATAAAAATGACATGGAGTGTGTTGCGATATTATATAGCTCATTTGCGTGCGTTACCCAGTTAACAAAATTGGTTCGATCCTAGCATGGAGCGTTACTTTTTCAATACAAAGAATAAATTCATTTTCTAAAAAAATTAATGTTGTGATTTGTTTTAAATTAGATTAATTCTGGTTCTGTTGCACTGAGAGCGAAAGCAATTCTTCGAACCTGCCGACTGCCGTCCTTCTGATAAGACAGTATAAACTGAGGTCGAGTGCCGCAACAGGTGCCGGCACGAAAAAGATCCCTCACTGCTCAATGGCCCTAAGTGCCGAGTATAGGACAAAATTTGTAGCTCTCCACCGGCAAGTGGTGGCGTCTCCATATGAGTTAAAAATTCTCGAGAGGGACGTTTAACAACATACAATCAATTACTTTATCGAACCTGCTGATACTTTAAAATACATATGGACTTGAATTTGCATTTGAACTATACCCTATCAACTTTGGTGTTTTAAGTGAAGCGTTACTAAGTTATACATGCCGCAATTATTAAGATATGTGTATTGAAATATTACCCGGTAAATTCGACTAGGCATTTCAAAGGAGGCTGGGGGGGGGGGGGGTCAACAAATTTTCTATCAGATATAACTTAATTTTTAAGATATCTTAAGCTGTCATCTATCATATTGCAAAGACATATCTCGTACATTTTAGTTTTAAGATTGGATCATTTTTGTATATCTTTATATGGAGCTCTTCGTCTAAAGATCAACATAGTCTGAAAGTGGCCACGACCACCCAGCCCTCAAGGTATTCAAGGTATAATGCAGAGATATTGAACAATTTTGAATGATTTTAAACTAGGTAAAAATACATTGCTAGATAACGATAAAAGTAAAATAAACGAAATGGCTGATAACATGTAAAAAGCCGGTCATTTTGCACCTTCAACGTTTTTGAAAAGTTATCTGTCCTTGATGAAAAGGAGAAACTTTTAATTTGTCAAAATATACGTGAAAAATGAATCATTTTTTTCAGAGTTTAATAAAGAGAGAGTTTATGCATATTTTCACCAAGAGATTTTTTTTTGAAATTCAAATTACTGTTTACAATATCTTAAAAAAAAACATGCGCTGCCCGTAGACTTCAATGTTAAATTCAAGGTGCAATTTATTGGACAAAAATAATTTCGCGAAATCCTCTGGTGGAGCAGTTTTATATAATAACACCTTCAAATTGCTACCATGATCAAAAATATCGGACCAGTGAATTAAATACAAAATATGGTCGCTATACATTGAATACCTTAAATGTGAAATCCTTCCATATGCAAATCTTTTGAAAGTCTGTCAACCTGTGGTCAGCCGTCAAAATCGTAGACATTAAACTATTAATATATTTAGTAGGTACTATTCCTGTAGATGGCATGCCAAATACGCCCATCTTAATAAGCTTTTGCCAAAGGTCAAGATGTCCAACATTTTGTTTTTATAATAGCTCAAAAACTGTGTGTGGTATAAAGTAAAAAGTTTTACGGATAACATTGACTAGCAGATAGAAAGTAAGTTGAAAACCAATTTTAAAAAAAATACTCATCGAGAAGAATTCTTTTTAAAAAATGCTTATATTTTAAATGTAAGAGATTCAATTCTCTTAGCTATTGCTAGATGCATTTAATCTTTCCTTCCTCTAAATATTTTTGGTTGTCATCCTAAGTTTACTTGTATCCAAAATATTCTGATTAAACACGTTTTTATTGAGATTCGCTGTATATCTTTTTAGTTAGACGCGTGATACATTTTAGGCATGCTTTATAAAGTAGAACGATTGATTAATAATAGAGGAAAAATCAAGGACTGGTTGTCTACTGGAACTTAACTATCATTGATAAGGCAACGCAGAGGTTTCTTTAATTTTATGAATTACCAAAAGAAAATCAAATGTTCAATGAAAAGAGTTTTAAAAAGGTAGTATTACCATAATTTACTATTATCATAATAGTATCCTTTCAAACATGTGTTGATAATATTAGGATTACTTGTTTAAAACCGTTTAAGCAGAAAATTGAGTGAAGATTCAATTTGCAAGGGTGTGGAGATCACTAAAAAATTGGATATTTCTAAGAATTGGTATTACACATGAACAACCAGGTGCGAGTGAAACTTTTGCAAGCGAACATTTAGATTACCTTATTTACAATCAATAAATAAATAATGAACAGTTTCCCTGGAACAGCATTTAAACTGCTCAGAATACTTATTTTCATAGGATTTTCTAAGCAAAAGCATATTTCAGAATTGGTAAGAATAATAGAATAAAATCTTATATTAAATACCTTGATGTTCTACCACTCATTATCTCCTTCAACAAAAAAATCAAATGTTGCCAAATGAAAATCCTTGTTAAACGTAATATGCAGTCAATATCAACATGGCTACCCGGTCAAAGTGGAGAATATTTTAAACTAAAGTGGAGAAATTGAACTATGCAAATAGAGTGCACAGAATGGTGACGAATTCAAAACATTCCTTATACATGCGTGTGAAAAACCTTTGAGTCAGTCATCTTGAGATAACATATAATCATGTGTATAGACATTCTGCATGATCAAGATTTGTGGTACCAATATCCTTACTGCTAGCATGTATTCATTATTTACAGATAATCAAAAGAACACACCCAAAGAAAAAGTCATATTACTAGTATAACTTAAATAAAAATGCATGACATTTTTATCAGTAAATGAAAAAAAAATATTACTTAGATTTCGCCTACGACAGCTAAATCCTTTATACACTGTATATGCGAATGTATTTGAAAGGATTGAATCCAGTAAGCAGATGAAAAGTGATGAATTTTTATATTAAGACATACTCACTAAAACATCATAATTGCCATTTAATTAAAAATTTAATGTTATTGATCTGTGTTTATTTGAAAACACTAAATATTTAAAGATTAAACAAAAGGTACATGTGTATAAATTATTTTTTTTTTAAACTCTTGTATTAGACAGTAACTACTAGTATTATATTTATTACGGTTGACGATATGATTCATATTGAACATCGTGTTATTTGTTTTTAATTCGCAAAAGTCGAAGGTTTCTTACAAATTACAATAAAATTTACTAAATTCTTTTTTTAATGAGGCATCTACATGTATCTGATCTCTTGCCCTTAAAATACAATGATTAGCTATTTAATTTATTATTTTCATAAGGTATGAAAATCTGCAAATTATGTATTTTTAAAAATAATTATTTCTACAAAAATCAGAAAATACTTGTTTTTATATCAGTAACAAAAAATCATTGGTGGTAATTCAAATGGAATTTCAAGGACAAAATTATCAGTTTGATGACTGAATGTCCGTTTTTCTTCATCCTTCTTGTTTCTGCAGACCAAATAGACATTTTTGAATACAGAAAACTAGCGTCGCAGTTTGGTCTGAGGTGTATGATTTCGTAAAATAATTTAAGATCATACATCACAAGTTTTCGCACTTAAGTAGTTAAATATAGGTTTCCTGGCAGGGTCATCTTTAAAATAAAATTGTCATGTAGTCATTTTCAACTTAAGATTGAAAATTAATAAAAGGCATGTAAAAACAAATAACAACAACAATAAAAAAAAAATCAGCAAAGGCTTTTTTAAGGTATCCGTCCCAACGAATCATTTTTTAATGAAACTGACATCAAGCAAGCATTTAATTATTTCATTAAACATCATTACTGAATTATGTAACCAAAATTTTATTTGAGTGATTCAAAAGGAATAATCTATGATAACTGATTAAGATACAAATTGTGCAAATCCTTTCCGTTTATAACCGATCTCACTCTTTATTGAAAATTTTAGAAAGTCGGATGACATCGAACCCGATGTTAAAAAGAAACAAAAATTGAGATAATTGTAATGAATGAAAATAATTGTAAAGCATTCGGTAATACAATGAATATATCAATATATTGAAAGTAAGTTGTGCTAAAAACTTACAAATAATTGTCAATTAATGGCTAAGGAATATATAAAATAAAGTATTGAAGTGTGTTTAATTTTTTTCGTATTTTACTAAAACTTTTAAAAATGTGTGTTTTGATTCATACAATTCAGTGTTTTTTCTACATACATTCTTTTGAATTAAATACATATATATCTAATATATTTATTAGGCATGTAAACAATTTAATACAACAGGTATCCAAAAATTGCTTTATTCTACGTAAGGAGTAAAAGCCTATTTTTTAAGTGCAAAAAATAAGGGTTGAATTTATACCTTTTAAGTATCTTCATGTATTTCTGTTCCTAAACTACCTGCGGGATTTTGAAGTGACTGTATTTCGTTATTCTATAAGTCTGTTTATTGATCGAACTGTTTGTAGAGTTTGTAGATACTTTTTGAAATAGTTTTGTTATCGTTAAAAACATAATACATGTAATTTCTCCCGTGCTTGCGCGGGATTTCATCTAGTACATGTAATAAATGGGAATTATGTCTATGTATACTGAGTATTTACCACCTACATATGTACACATCTGTTGCTATTAGGAATGGAATACCTATACACAATAAAAATTTCTCATGAATTCGGGTAATTTTATTGAAATACTAAGTAATGTATATAAATCAATGGGTGATGTCTTAGTTGTAAAGTAAACAAGTTATTGTACTTATTTTGGTGAATATTGGCACTCATTGGCTGTACCAATGCACTCGTGCAATATAAGTTCAATTTAACACTATAATATTTTGTTTACCATTTAATTAGAGAACTAAAACGCTTATAGAAAACTTTAGTTTTCTGTTGCATGCTATGTTAACAGTCCAGCGTTTTTACTATAAAAATCAAAGCTCCAAAGTTTTTACTTTAATCAAAGTTTTTGCTATAGTAGATCAAAGTTACAAAGTTTTTACTACGGTTAATCAAAGTTTTTACTTTGGTACTATAGTTAATTAATTAAAAGTAAACTATGGTTGACTATAGTTCACTATAGTATTTTTTGTTAAGGATTTTCTAAAAATACATTTTTCATAAAGGCATTATAATTGTTTCATGGCATTGATGCTTGACAGTGAAATCTCTAATTTGCCAAAAGAAACACATTGGTCAAAAGCTCTGCAATGCTGCAGCATATTGCTACACTTTTTCAACTGGATTCCATAGATCTGTATACACCTTCAAATGTCCAAAAATAGTAATTTGTTATGACAAATTATTAGCTTGTTTTAACAACAGATAATTTGTTATCACAGATAAACAATTTTGTAAAAGATACTGCTACGGCCCTAATACGCTCCCATATACTCTGTACGTACGAAACAATGTATCAAAATCGTTGGTTCCATTCCAATTACATGTAGCTTATTCTTAAGAGCTCCAATGAAACTTTGTCCGTCCATGCTACATGTACCACCTGCCAGTGCTGTCCGGGAGAGGAAATAATTAATTTTAGGCATGCTACGTTCAGAGGGATTTTTTCCACGGTCAAAAAATGCTTCAATAAATTATGTTTTGTGATTTGTTTTTATTCTTTTTAATTTTGTTTTACCCTCTCTTTCTCTCTGGATTCATTCTACACATGCACCATGATCTACTTTACATACTGGTTTTCGACAGGCATTTATACCTACACTGTACTGTTTATCCAATTCAGATTAAAAAATAAAACTAAGAACTAACGTATAATTGTTCTCCCGCCTACCTCCAAGTCAATTTTCAAAAGTTAATATATTTGAATGATTTTCCATATTTATATTCATATTTACATGAATTTCCATAAAACATTATTTATTTGGGAAAACAAAGAAGAGATAACCCTATAATTTTGATAAAACTCGCGTTTTTCACTATAGAAATCAACGGAAAACGGAAAATATTTTTAAAACATCCCCCCCCCCCGTGAAACAAAAATTCCTTTACACGGGTAATATAGACTGTCATTTCACAAATTCATACCAAAGCTTTATGTGTTTCACGAGGGGGGGGGGGGGGGGACATATGTTTACTGACAAAAAAATGACAAAGGTTTTAATTTTTCACCAATTTCAAAGGGGTTTACAACTAAAACACAGTATTTATTAATGATATTTATGTTTAATTTCATAAGCTTAAAACATAAGAAAAGAAGTAAGGAACATTGATTCACATTCAAAAATATTTTAAAATACGGTGATGGTGTAAAGCCCGGTTTCAACGGAAAATATCGTCTACCCCCCTTTTTTAGAGAGGTAGAATAAGGGATAATTAACTATTTTACACTGGTATTAAATTTATTAATCAATTATAATTGAACAGATATTTTATTCAACAAAGATTTTATGGCCAAATTGTCATTAATATTGAATTAAATAGGTGTAAAATCTAGGCGGGAATCAAGAGTTAGCGTACGTACTTCTTTGATCTAAATCCCAGTTCCAAATGCAAAAAACAAAAAAAACAAAAAAAAACACCTGGCTGTGTTCCTGGGGTGAACCTCTTTGGTCCCCTGTAACGCTTGGCAGCAAGAAAGGTAACATTTGTAAATAAATTATCACGAAGTAATAAAACAAACATCCTGTAACAACCTTTCTCTGAAAACGAAAATAAACAATATCCTTGAGTGGGAAGTACTTTGTAAAATGTTACGTTAAATATGTGTTATAAATTTACTTTTTATGTATGTGTATGATCTATTACTTTGTTATAATAAATTATTAATTTGTTACGTCAAATTACTCATTTATTATAACAATTTATTAATTCGTTGTATCAAATTTTTAAAATTGTTTAAAAAAATTTTTTTTATCAAATAATTGATTTGTTTTATCAAATCATTAACTTGCTAAATCAAATTATTTATTTGCTATAACATATTATTAATCTGTTATAACAAATTATTAATTAGGTATATCATATTCATAATTTGTTATAGCAAATTAGTAATTTATTTTAACAGATTACTAATCTGTAAAAACAAATAGGTAACTTGTTATAAAAATTACCAATTCGTTATTTTAAAAATTAGTAAGTTGTTAAAACAAATCTATAAAAGATACTGGTACGGCCTTCCGTCACCGTGTATATAAGACTGTCTCAGGTTAATCAAAGAATGTAACATAAATTAGTTAAAGGGCGATATTTTAAGTACGATATGATATAAGCCAAGAGTTTTAACGGGACTCAAACATTTTTACAGATAGAATTTTCCGGCATATTCATTTCATCTAAATTTTACATTATCTGAATAGTTTGAGAAGAGTGAAATGTATATACATTTACCTTAACTGCATTCCCGTGTTATTTCCCATCAAAAGTGGAACGGGCACATGAAAATAGTCCAAACTTTATATAAACTAGAAATAACGTGGAATAAAGGACTATATACGATTTTGAAAAACCGTAATTTTCAAGAGGTGAGTGATTATTTCTCAAAACAAGCTTAAAGTAGACTGTAGTACATCGCTTAAAGTATGTTTTAAAAAACTTCACTGAGCAGACGCATATGCTGTTGCATGATAAGAAAGGTTTCCTCGTCATATATC